GCTGAAACTTACCTCATGCAATTTGCCATTGTGAACATAAGATGTACAAAGCAGGTAAATCAATTCCACAAAATTGCTCTGGTGCCTTAGCTGAACATCAACTCTAAAGAGCTTGTTAAATATACACTGGGGATTTGGTCCTTACTTTTAAGAAATGAAGGTCTAGCACAAAAAGTAGCTCAAGAATTTATTCCTGCCTGCATGGAGGCAAAACAGCATGCGGTCACTAAATGGCAGAATAAGCACCATAAACCATTACCTCAGGTGGAGCAGAATTTGCTCTCCCTCTCCCGTGCTGCAGTCATTTTAAAGACAACTCACATTTTCAGATCAGCCTAGTGTTCTCTGCTACTGTTTTCAGGACACTGTCTCAAATCGGTAGCTGTGCCAAGCCTCAATGCAAGATCCCTTTTCATTACAGCTACGCCTTGCGGGAGTCCGAAGGGCACCAAGCGTTAACTGACCTGAAAACAAGGTCCCGTAGCTTCGAGGTTAGATGCATATACACCTGATAGTTCAAGAGCTGTTTCCGGAAGAGACTAGTTCAGCACAGCTTTTGCTGCTTGGCTATTCGAAAGAACTTGGCTGATTGCTCTATTGCTGCCTTTAACAAGAACGTCAAGTTCAAATCAAATCAGCAGGCAAATTTTGGACTGACAGTCAGTCCTGTCACTAGGATTGTACTTGCTAGCATCAACTCAGATACCTTCCATTTTCATCTGGTGTACCGAGCCTAACAATGTGCTGTCCAGTGATGGATTTTTAAGTTTTGTTGCCACGCTGCCCAGTAAATTAGAGGCATTGCTTCTCATGACTCCACAATTCCACTTACTCTGAGTTACCTATTTTAAACTGTCAGCATCAAACAAGTGATTCCTGAGCTACCTTGATACTTAATTTTCAACAGGAACAGAGGATAACAGCATCTGTCAGGACTGGGCATCACAGGAACATATTCATTCCAATATTCAAAGTAGTCAACATACATAGAAACTTGTCACTCCTTTTGTCCAACAGACCGAGTATGGATGGGAAGAAGCAACACCAACATAAAACCCGAGTCGTGCTTGAACATCAGGAATTGGTCTATTAAAAATATACTTAACCTTGCAATATCGCTTTCATACCACCAATCTGAGATTAATACGAAATTCCTGATATAATGTGGAAATAGTAAATACAGTATGTCTAATACATGCAATGTGTTTGCCTATTCAATACAGGATTTATTTAGCAAAGTTTACAGTACAACTGCACCAGTGTCATCCTAAAAAAATTAGAACCCAAGGTCAGTGCTGCTGCAACCCCCATCTTTTGTGCTCACAAAGAAACTACTCTTCTCTCCGTCTCTTCCCCCCTGGGATGCTCTACGCTTTCCACAGTTCGGCTGTAAGACAGAACTGCCTCCAGTTAAGAGTGAAGCCTTGGCTCTGTCCGACAGCATTACTCTCCTGCAAAGGAGTAATTACACAGCTAAACCAGTAGCTGTGTAGGTACAGGTGGGCAGCATAATTGCAACAAGAGCAGATTTTAAAATCTGAGTTTATTTCATCGCAAACATGGTAATAGTGTTTTGGTCAAAATTGAGAAATATTTTAAAAACCTATTATCATTTTGGGTATTTCTGTTATTAAAGCTGTGAGCTTACTAAAGAGTGTTCTTTGATCTTACATATCCACAATCCCTCTTAAAACTCCTCTGTTGGCAGTGTATAACATATACCGAGGTCCTAAAAAAAGTCTAGCTAGGCTCTGGCTTAGTTGGCATGGATGATGAAGGATACTGTTCTCCTAGAGAAAGACATACAGAAATGACGTCAGATATTTTTGACAGCCTTCATAGTCTAAGCATCTCATACCACTATATAGAGAGAAACTGCATTGTGATAAAGGTGGTCCTATTGCATGGCTTTCAAAGTGCTCGTTACAGCCCTTCGCCAGCTGCTTAGTACTTACACAAAGCTATTTGCTTCACGGGAGTCAGCAAAATTAACAAGTCCAAATTTCTAAGAGCGAGCAATTACTCAGAAGAATTTTTAGGAGCAAACTTTTAGTAATTGTGAAGAGCACTTCTGAAGCCATGATTACTCAAGACTGACACAGTTGATAACAACTCCTGGTTTACTCAGTTGCAGTATCTCAGTTTGTAAGACAAAATATTGCAATGTTTCAGGAGCTTCAGAGTTTGATTAAATTTGTGCTATAATTAAGTTGCATTCGTGCTTGCTTACCACCACCAAATAAATTCAGAATTGTAGCCCCAAAGCAGAGCTGGCACAGCGGTCACAACAGGGCGAATACTGGCTTTAACACCTGACCTTAAGAACTATGCTGACTTACAAAACTGACTTCTAAATGAATATTTAGAATATAGAAAATTTTGCACTACGAAAACAAGACAAAGTTTCAACAAGCTAAATTGAGAGGCAAGTAAATTAACAGTGTACCTGTGATTGTGAAACTACTTTGCTTGAGGGGAAATTCTGCTTGGCTGATGAACATCTGAAAGGCTTCAAAAGATTAATTAAATAATCCTGCGGAAAACATGGTTGTTTCTTAATGCTCTCATAATGTTTAATACTAATGATGAATATACACAGTATTCAGTGTGTGCTTTTGGAATTAATTTGGCACCTGCGACTTTAGTTGAAATATCACTGCTTGCATCAGAACTGTCTAGAATCTGTTTTGGTTTTGGAGGGATTTATTAATTGAAGAACTCAATTTATTCACTGCTGAACCTCTGATGCTCTTATTTATTTCACTGTTAAGACAGCAGCTTTTCAAGAAAACCTAAATAAATAACTAACTGCATCTATAGGCAACAAATTTGGTCTCGCCTTTTCTTTTTTTTTTGTTTTGTTTTGTGGTTTATTCCCCCCGATTCCAGCCACTTCTAGAGTTCTGAGAGGACCACCCAAGGGTCACAGATGAAGCTGTGACCTTTTATTAAAGATGCACTGCTAGATATTCGAAGAATCCCTATTAATCACAAACAAGAACATAAGAACAATTAGAGAGCTTGCAGCAGGAGAAAACAATTAAATTCCATGCCCAGTTGGGCTCCTACCAGACTTTCAGTGTTTAACGGGAAGTGTTGCTCAAGCATACCTTTGACTTACGGATCAAAATAATTCAAAGTTATGCCTACACAACAAACGGAGAGGTAAAAGCCATATCCCAAAGCCCAGCTATACTTGCTTTAGATCTAGTTATCGCAATTAAAGTGTGAAAACAAAGCAACAAAGGCTCCCAGTCTCAAGACGAGGGTCTGGGCCAGGCCTTGGACTTAAGAGCAGTTAGCCATTACCCTTTCTCCGTCACCGCCACATGCTCAGTAAAGGATTTGCCCAGGCTCATACTGCAGTAACGGCTGGCTTGACTGTGTAGGTGTAACTAGTCCAAGTGTAGGAACTGACTAGATAAATTACAACTCCCTCCAGACACAGTATTTTCTCATTTACATGCGTTTTGCCTTTAAAAAACAAATTAGCAGTAGGTTGGCATCACTACCTTCTTCCCACAACTGGCAATAACCAACTGCTATAGAAATAAATCAGAAGCCATTGATAACCCAGTTTTTATGCACATTGTGTCCCACATTTGCAAGAATCTTACTTTATGGAAACTGGAATTTAATACAGTAAATACATTGCAAGTTCACCAACTCTGAATACTAAGAAAGAAATGTTGACACTGTACTTTTCCTTTTTTAAACAAGTATTACAAAATTGAATTTTATTGAGTTTCACACAAGATGCACTTATAAAATTGATACAGAATGTCATTCAACAGAAAAAAAAAGAAAGCAATTCCACGCTTCCTTTAGCAACTGCTAAATAATTAAAAAATAAGATACAGCAAATTGACAGATAATCTGAATTTCAATGTGTGAACATCTCCAATTAGTATAAAACACATCAAAAATTAAAGAATTTCAGACTTTTTTCCCTGCATAAGTCCTCTTCTTTTTACTCTCATCCCTGAACCGTAACCACAGATTTTGGCTGTTACTCCAACTACTCTTGAGAGGAGAGGCTGAAAGACTGCAGCAAGAAGTTGCCACCAGAGACCACACTGTGTATGGCAAAGCTGTGTCATTACCAAGTCTGCTCAGATAAGCGGTAACTCTGTCCAACTGTCTCCATTACTGTAGTCGTGCAAATTTCAGGGATTAGCATATACATTAAACTTTCACATGTTCATAAACCAAATAAACCTTGACTTTCCCACTCTGACTAGCAAAGAGCAAATTTTGGCTTCATTTGTTCAGCACTGAAGTACTCTTACGATACCTTCCCTCAGAAAGTGAAACGGGTGCTTACTTAAATATCTGAAAAGCATTTGAAGTTAATGCTGCCTTTTAACAACAATAAATGAAGAATTTATCATTAATTAAAGGGTCTCTTATGATACAGGTCTTCAGCCTAAGCTTTGAGCTCAAATTTATTCCACTCTTGGTCTGAGGATTCCAAACCATCTTTCATCAATTCTCCCACAACTGCATCTTGCACCAGAAATTAAGATGTAATGTTTAAATTTTCTTTATAGATCTAGTCCATCTACTTAAGCTTGGCTAAAACCAATCAATTAAAATGGATAATTCTGATTTGATTGTCAGTATGAGCTTTCATAGGCATGTTCTCAGGCAAGTTAATACACAGATGTCATTCTTAGAGTTAAACCCAAAATGCAGTGTAATTTTCTTCTCTGCTGCGTTAACGCCATACATAACACTTCTAACATAATGGCTGCTCGCTGCAGTTAACACTGCCTTTCCTCAACATACAGAAGTGCCCCTTTGTTATTTTTTCCTACAGCAACGAAAAAATCCTCAGCTTTTAAAAATACCTTTATAAATAATTTGCCTTGCAGGACACACAGCTTAACACAAGAAATTATTATGCTTCATACTTGCCCAGTTAAGCAGAACCTTCATTACTGTGACCCTTCCTTGGTGTTTAGTATTTAGATAAAATACTATGCAGTAAGTCTTTCATTTAAAGGCAAACTTTTATTCTGATTACAAGATTTTCAAGATACATCTTGAAAAGATTTTTGTTGACAAGGATAACTATTTTGACTTACTGTTTTATGTACCAATGCTTTATGCATTTGTTGATATAAGCACAAGTTTTGAATTCTGCTTGCAGATGTTTAATGAAACACGGTAACTGGAAAGGCAAGCTTCCGGTCAAGTTGTCATACATTTCCAGGAATATCCTTTCACTGGAGGAACCTTCATGAAAAGTAGTATGTTCTGGAAGCATGGTTTCATAATGCAGAACAGGATTATGCTTTTTTTCCAGTCTGTTTTCCATAAAAGTGATACTGCAGCTCTGCCACGAGGCTAGAGACTCACGATCCACCACATTTTCCAAGAGGCAAGTTAAAGATCACTTACTTGACCTGACCAGATACCAAGCCAAGTTACTTGTAGAAAGAAATTAATATTTTTTGCCATTAATAATTTAAGTTTTTAAATAAATATTTATGTGCCTTTTTTGGCAACTGTCCATTCTGGTAGCATCTGCTGTTCCAACAGCTCAGTATCCTTAGCACATTGATTAAAAAAAAAAAAACTTAGTCAATTCTGTTTCCACAAATAGTAAACCTGTCTATCTCCAACAAGTCTTTCTTTGAAGACCTGTGTTTTAATTCTGAACTGTCTTGGCTTATATCTTTTTCTTCTCCATCAGGAGTTGTCAGAAATTGATCAGAATTGCTTGTTACAAGTAAAGACGGTGTACTCTCTTTCTGATGCACAGGTTGATTGGTAACTGATGTAGATCCATTTTCATCTGTGGAAATTCCTGTTGGAACAGAAGACAATTAGAATTTAACACAGACATACTGATGCATCTGTAACATCCAGATTCATCCAAAGCTATTCTGAAAAAGTGTGCTGCATCAAAACACCAGAAGCAACAAGAGGAATGCTTTGTGGAAGTCACTTCCTCCTCTTAGTTTTACCATAAGAGATTTCCTTTTCTAATTGGGTAGAAGAATGGAAAATGAATTCTACAGAAGTTCAGATAAGGAGCAAGAGCATAAGCAACAGATGTTAGGACATACTCTGCATTCTTCTGGTTTACATACTCATTTTTGTTGGCTTAGGCAAAAAGATTTTTGACAGTCACTGTGTGAGTCACCCAAATATTATCTACTGAAATGATGAAAAGGAATCTCTGTAGCAGGAACTAGATGTGCCTAATCCTCTACGTATGTACAATAAACCTGGCTTCTCGAGGGATAGCTAATAAATGACTTATGCACTGCTGCACACTTCAGTAGCACTGGCTTCTGAAGCAGTTCTACTAAAGATGTCAATTTTTATTCCTGCCTCTTACTTCTGTGGAATTGAACACTGGCTCTATTAACCTAAGATACTTGTAAGCAATATCCATGTGTTGTTTCCACATTTTGTTAAAACGTTTAAAGAACTAAAATGCACAAGCAAATGACAGTAAATAAGAAAAAATTATTTCCTTATCTCCTTGTAAACATTTGAGTTATTGTTTCTAAAGGAATTTGAAAAAATCTGGCTAACATGGAGAATACTGCAGATCAGCCCAAGGGAACGTTATTTGTCAAAATGGCAGCACTACCCAAATTACTACAAAAACTTCTTTCAGTATAGCATCTCTTCCCTGTATGCTATCTACTACTTGAAGGTACATGGATTACTCTCTACAGTCTTACGCAAGTCAAAGGTACTAAACTTGCATCAAGAAAGGAGACAAGTAATGCTAATTGTAGAACTTCGTTACAAAGTCAAGTATTTTCTAAGCCAGCAGGCCAGCCTCTATATGATTATCAGTAATTAGAACTTCCATCATTCAAGAGAAAGTATAAAATTTTATCCTCCGAAATTTTAAACTGTTTCTGGATGAGGTGGAAACGCTTAGGAAAATAAATTGACTTACATTATAAGCTGATAAAAAGTAGACCAGATTAATTCCCTCACCCTCATTCTACTAAGAGACGTGTTGAGAGACTGCATTGGAAAAAACCTGAGAAGTGGGGCACAGCATTTAACCAATATTGCAGAACCCAGCCGTAATAATGCAGACACACACAAGCTGGGGAAGGTAAAATCATTCTTTCACATAATTGAGGTTTCTAGAAAATAAGGAGCTGTTAAAACATATTAAAAATCCAGAAAACCTGAGCTTTTTCATCACCGATGGAAGTTAAGAATATTAAAAACAATCAGCAAACCCCTTTTTGATTGCTACTTTTCAATCAAAAATCTTTGCATTTGAGGAAATAAGCATCTCTGCTGACTGACCTGGTAAAATAGCTGCTGCTTCAGCTAAAAATAATCTTCAGGATTTATTTACTGTGAGTAAGTTTAAGGGTCAATCTAAGTATGACTGATTAAGTCTCATATCCAAGTTTAATTAAAACATTATCATTATGACAGCCATCTAATGAAATGCAAACGACATTCAGACCAACTCATATTATATTCTTTCATGATGGAACTAAAGTAACTTTATGAATTTAAGCTATTTAAAAATAAACGTCTGCACCAAGTTTCTACCTGATGTGGTCTGACACGGGTGAGATAGGTATTTATGACTGAAACACTGACAGATTCTTAACTCTACTATTACTGGCAAGACACTATGACGACTAATAAGCACCTTACATTTCAAGCTGTTCAAGTCTTTGGCAAGCAAGAGTGAACACAATAAAAGCCTCACTGTTAAGTTCTCCAGGGCTCTCACTGAGCTCTTCACAGAGGAAGATACACAATCCGTTTCAGTTGACTGGAACAATGAATGTTTCTGTTTCCTTTTACAAAGTGTCACAGGAATATAATAATGCCCCATTCCAATTATATATTAACCGCTAATGCTGAGGACCTACACGAGAAAACCACACTGCACTGACTTGAAATTGAGTAGAGACCAGCTGAAATTCCTATTTGAATTTTATAGAGCTTTTCATTAATGTGTTCATGACACCTACAAGTAATTATACCTATTGTGTGCCATGTTTTACATTAACTTCCATAAAAAAATGCATAGATTGCTTCCTTATTAAACTTCAGCACCAACAGAGATGATGTGTAAATACTTATTTGTGTAGTGACATAGCAGAGGGGGTTGGACTACATGATCTTTAAAGGTCCCTTCCATCCCAAACCATTCTATGATTATGATTTTCAAACAAAAGTGTGCTACTGTTCTAATGTTTCTATCACCTTCACACATGAGGGTGGGATCTTATCAGAGACGAGTATTTATAATGAAAAGAAGAGGCATGAACTAAAAGCAATAAATTGTTGCATTTAGAGACTTGTGTTCACAGCTGGGATATGGTACAATTAGGGTCCAACAACATGGTTACTGTGCAGCAATGTCATACATCTGATTTAATGTTAAGTTTAAGTCTGAAAGCAATTTTCATTACAGTTGAAAAAAACAACACGGAAGTTAGCCTTACCTTGGGTAGATTTAAACATGCTTTGCTGTTTGCCAGCTGACTTCCCTGCGGTGGCAGTCAGGACAGGATTGAATAATTTCTCCTCCATTTTTGCCTCTTTTACATATTGACATGATTTTCCCAGCAATACAATACTGTTAAGGACTTTTAGAGATATTAACCTGAAAAAATAAAAGGATTTGTTTACATATTTGCATTAGCATATTAAAATAATTGCATATTATTCATACTGCAATTACTCGTATTAAAATAATTGCATATGGTTACTGCTGTCTTGGAAAGAGTAGCTAACAAATTAAATCCCTCCAATAAAAAGATCAAAAGGTAATTTCCTTTTCCTAAGAAGTTGTTTCATATTCAATGCTTAATTTTTTTTTTCAGAAGGCATCTACAGAAAACATCAAGTTTTATCATAGTTTAACAAAAGGACTACAAGGACAGTTAAGCAGCCATTTAATACATCAAATATTTAAACACAGAACTAAAAAGGGCCCTCAACAGTGCAAGTCCAAATTAAATGCACTACTGTTAAAACTGTAGTCTTAAGTCTGCCCAGCCAAGGGTCACTAGTGGACTTTGAACCACAAGAAAGCAAATACCTAGTTTTCACAAATTACAGGCTAATCATAACAAATCCGTTTTCCCATCTAGTCCATAAAACTCAATAAATCCAAAGAGGCAGCACTGCATTGCCGTCATAGCACAGTCCAGTTGATGGCAGACTCCCTTTCTATTATCACTAATTTGTGGCACAACCTTCAGCAAATCATTGCAGTCCCTTTTATACCTGTCTTCTCATTTGAAGAACAGGAAGGTCTCATCTACCATCAAGTGCTTTTAGATTTACAACTTGAATGATAAGTTCCATTACTAGCATTACACGACATGCAGACCAATGTCTACTCCAGAGGTGAAAGCAGAGGTGAAGCAGGTAAAGGCTCAGTACAGAACAACAAGGAAACAGCTATCTATTCTCTGTAGGATTAATATAAATATTCTCCATGCAAATCAATCTGTGTAACAAAAGTGAACCAAACGCAGACTCTAAATTCATTCTCCACTCTCTGAAAAATCTGTTTATCATGTACATCAGTAACAGACTAAAAAGAAGACCTGAAGTGAATATTCACAGATTAAAATCCATGGAGCAGCTCTAACTGCTTAATCGTAAAGTGATCCAAGCACACTTCAGCAGCAGCTTCACCATCTCACTGCATTAATGTAATCAGAACTTGTCAAACAGAACAAAGTACACTGCACTTTTAAGGGAATTTTATGCAATACATTTACTTGTAGAAGAAATTTATAGAAATGGAAGAATGAGCAGAGCAGATCACTTTCAGTACTCAGAAGAAACAGACGTTCTAGTATCCAAGCAACCACAAAGAAGGTATCATTTTATACAAGTCGAGAGCCATGATTCTCTACAATTTTATTAGGTTATCAGGACAAATTTTGTTTGGGAGTTGAGCAGCTCTCCTCTATTTTTAGTCAGTTTTAGAGGTGTGTCCCCCCCCCCCTGCACTTTTTATGTAACCTGCTTTTGTTCTGAGAAAGTAGGTGTTTACAGCATGAATTGGCTCCGATTTAGTAAGATCAGAAGTTGAAAAGGCCATAAATCAACACTCAGTTCCAGCTTCTCATGGAAAATTATGCAAGAGTTTCTAGTGATTCTCCTTTATTCTTTTCTGCCAGTCCACCAAGGCTCAATGTAAGTTTGTAGTTTCAAAATTCTAGAAGAAAACTCGGGTTTCATATGCTGTGCAAGACTCTCCAATAGTATAACTTAAAGTACAAGAGTTGTTAAATATCAATACAAAACAATGTCTTCCATATTATAGTCTCAACCCTTTGCCCAGTCAACTGTTTCAGATTTCATCACACTTTCTCACATATCTATGCTATACCAATCTGATGAAAAGCTGAAATTTATGTTCAGAACACAAATTACTTCAAAGATGCAAGAGGTGAGTTAGCTCCAAAACTGAGATCATGGCAGAAGTAAAAATCTGTTCTCACTTTCTAATAAGGACAAAGTAAATAAAAATGTATTTACTCCTGTGACCTATGCCTTCAACGAGCGGTGTTTAATCCTTTATGTTAATCACATTACTTCTCCTGCTGACCATCCTCCAAGCCACAGAGACAGGGAAAAATCCAGGACTGGGCTGCAGCACTGGAATGGTAGATGTAGTGAAATACTACATATACTGGGAAAAAGGAAAAACCACTGAGCAGAATGAAGGTTCTCAGCTTGGTATAGCACAGCTTGGATGTGATGATCAGGGGCTAGTGCTTTCAGTTATATAGAGCTGGCTTTAGGGAGAACATGGGCACAGCACGTGGTAAGCTGGAGAAGAAATCATAGTATGGTGCAGAGGAATATCACAGAATCACAGAATCACTAAGG